GTGGAGGTTGCATTTTGCCTGTCTTTATCTTCTTTTCTAATTTTACTTATAGTTCGTTCACTAACACCCGTATAATATGCCGCCCTTGCATTTCTAGCTACCAGTGGATAAACGAAAGTATTGTTAGCCGCTTCTGCATCGCAAGCACGTATCACGTTTGCTATTATTTCCCTTGCCTGGCTGTGAATAACTTTCCCATGCTTGAATTCCATTATCACCACTAAACAGTAAATTATATTTTCAAAGTATTTGCCAACTGCCTACGCCTATGGGAGTAGGTTTATAAATGACCGTGCCATCGGCACGTTATTCTAGTTTCAGATAAGATAAGAGTTTTGGACCAATCAGCGACCGGATGTTTACCTGCGGCCTGGGTTTTCCAGCTACATTGCCAAATTCAGCGGAACAATTCTATATCTTAAATATGTTAATATGTATGGACCGCATTTTATGTAGAACATCTGACAACTTCGCAATTTTTTGTCCGCATTCTTTCGGCTTGCAATCTTTCGCTGGTCCAACTATAATGGATATAATTTTGAAGATATACTAAACACAGCGCCACTGACAACATTAAATCGGCAAACACACTGGTCGTAATATAAAGGATGCAGATAGGGTTCGAGTAAAATTGACAAAGTACTTTGTGAATGAAGGGAAACTTGAATGGCAGGATACAATGATCTAAATTGTTGTCTTTATTGTAAACATCAATTACGAACAACCGTACCTAATATTTTCTTTTTTTTCTTCGATGTCATCGGATTTGCAAAAAATTAGGACCACTTCCACCCAGGCGCTTCTTTTTGCCGTCTTATCTAAATGCAGTCCAATGATCCGAATCGCTGGCATCTTTTTAACTTCATCAATAAACAGATCGGTGTTCCATTACTCTACTTCCATTTCACTAACTACCATACGTAACGAATTGTCGCCTGAATGCCAGGAAAGACGCGCGCTAACTGAACAGGCAATGGGAACGTCTAGTATTTCAATACGCGCGTCGACGCTGACCGACGCGCGTATTGAGATTAGCCGCGTCTAGTGGCGTCGTACGCACATATGTATTCTCATGCGCGCATCAATGTGAACAGCTAGTATTAATTATATGTATTTTCAAAGCGAGCATGAGCGGTACGCGCGTCATCTGAACTAAGTCTTATGCAGTCCCAAAGTTTTATGTAACCACCACCATGTTTCACTGTTTGTAAAGGTTCGCGTTCTTTTTTCAAATCCATTTTTGCCCACCTGTGCTCTATGTTTTCTTTTCTAGCTTCATTCTGTTTTTTTTTGTAAGGAGAGGTTGATTTTCTTCTCTACAGTTTGCATATTCACATTGTGTAATGCTCGACGAACAGTCCACTTACTCACTGACATCCCAGTGATCTTAAATACCTCTCTATTAGATAACTTCTTAGTAAGACCACCAACATAACTTGGCATAGGAAATTGACACTTTGCTTTTATTCTCTGTACAGTGTACGTTTAACTCATAAGCGACAACTCTTGTCGATTTTCCACTTATGAGTTACAGTTTAGAAGACTCTACAATATTCTTCGGAGTTGGATTCATGATTGTAATGAAAAAAAGTATTACGTTAAACAGTTTTCTGTGCGATGCAGAAATACACTAAGTAATAAACAAAGCAAATTGGCCTTCATCCGCTAATCCTGACCAGTTTAAACGTGTTTAAATACTAGCGCAAGCTGGTTATAAACACGGTGCAAAAGTGAATCAATCAATATCAAGTATTACAACGTTTTGACATGTACTTATGGTTAACTATCCACAGAGATATAGACTCAAGTTATAACACAACATTTTTGTAAAATTTTTATTGAATTCTGTTATAATCAAACAATAGCGATACATTGACTCAGTGCTGCATCTAACTGTATAATCGGCACGGGTATTACGTATCTTGAAAAGTGACATTTTGTCGATTTTTTTTTTCGACGTAATATTGGTTTTTTGGAACATTATGTAGGTCTACAAGATGTTAGCTTAGCACTAGCTGATGTAAATGTAATGTAAAATCTGCTTCAGAGATGGCATTACTGGACGTAACGGCAATGCATAGGTGCATAGTGAGGATTTGTGTCCTAATAATGTGTGCTCATAATAAATTCATTGGATTCTTGTCTCACATACTTAGTTGCATATCCACTTTTTCTTATCCATTCTGGAAAGTTTTTGAAGACACAAAAAAAAGTTTTTGAAGACACAAAAAAGAAACGTAAAAAATCATAATTTAGAACTTTTAACATAACCTGTCTTCAGAAAGAACAATATATAAATAACCGTAGGGCACAGCTAATAGATATATTCTATTGGCAGCATATTGAGTTATCTTTTTCTGACACAGCAAATATCTCTGATTTTATCCACATCCAGACTAATAAACACAATTCAACCAACTTTCTTCTCCGAGATGAAAACTGTAGACTACTCGGCTTCACAAAACATATGCAACCAACAATGCGTGTACGTGTAGTTCGGCTATTCCTCCATAGATGGACGCTCTCAACGATCCTGGTGAGCAAACGTGAATTGACTGTTTGCACCCTAAAAACTACCTAGTCTGCAAGATGACATTTTATAGTTTTATTTGACGTTTCATAAGTTTTATACATAATACCCGTGCCTTACCCGCATCTCGTTGCTTCAACTTCCATGTACTGAGTGTTCCTAAATCTATCGAAGGATATTCAATTTTGGAAACAACTAGTTTCAGTCTTACGTGATTCTAATTATGTAGCATGTTTTGTGTTTGTAGTACCATTTGTACTACCCGTACCATTACACAGGTCATATGGTGTAAAAACGGCAACATTATTGTATTGTTCCCAAACGTCATGTAAACTGGCAAAGTAATGGAGGGAGGGCCCAGCAATAATTTTTTAAAGAAGCTAAACGTGGTTATCCATTATAAATGATAGGCGTCATCTTTACGTTCAACAAGTAACCAATCATTGCCTGCGGTATGTGACATTAGACCATTTTTACGTTACCTTTACGTCATTCAACTCTTGACTTGCCATCATTTCATCATCAGTTTGTAACGTAATTTCCACGTGCTTGTGCTACCTGGGTCAAATAGTTCGTCTAGATGAATTTTTTAAGTGAACGTCCTGGATGGTCGAGATGGATAAGGTTAACCTTTAACTACTCGCGCATTTTTATTTCACGTTACTACTCGCGCGGTGTATTTTGTACACCGTTGCAAGTTATGATCCAAATATATGTTTTGTTTGCCCTATAAGTTATAGCTGTGGTAATAAGAGCAACTGTTGAACTCAAATACATATTTATTAGCAAAAATAGTAAACAAAATCAAATAAGACAGTAAAAATAAATTGAAAAAAACAACCATAATTAATAATTCTCTATTCACTATGGGATCCGCCTTCCTTACATTTGTGGCAGGTGATAACGTTGACACTATGCTCTTTACACACTAACTGGTGACAAATGCTGCATGTAATTGTGGTAACTCTATTTTTTTTTTCGGGCGCAGATGGAGCATCTTCCTCTAATTTTTCTGGGTGGCTCCTCTTCTTCATCCATTTGAGTTTGTCTATATCTGGATAGGAAATGTCTGATATCTATAGGTAACGTAGGTATTGCAGCTCTTTCAGAAAGAAAAGGTTTCATCAATGACAGAGCAAGAGTTTTCAGGAAAATTCTTCTGGACTTGTGAGGAGATTCAGGGTGAGTGCCGTTATACAAAATTTGGCTATTGATGCCTGCTATATTTAGCAACTGAAAGAAGAAAGCCAATGGCCACCTTTTTGTTCTTCTTCCAACAGAATAAGTATTGCACATTTTGTCCACTGTGTCCACACCCCCTTTGGTCATATTATAATCTAGAATTATTTCAGGTTTGTTGGTATATGGATCAATAGTGGAGTCGTCGTGCATAGTTGAAATCAAAACCACGCATTTATTTTTTTTTTGGACATGTGAAACTATCGTTACATCCTTTTGGAATCCAAAAAGTGATGACCCAACCAACCTATTTTTATTTTTATTCTTCTTCAGGGTTCCGATGAAAGTTATTTTGTCTTGAAGAAGTTCCACTGCCAAAGGGTAACTTGAATACCAATTATCGGAGGTTAGATTTCTATTGCTTCCTTTTTGTTCTGCTAGCAAACGGTGAACGATGGCAGTTGGTGTATTAGATTGGCTATATTGGCCATCTGGTTGTTTTCCACAGTACAGCTCCAAATTACTCACATAAAATGTTCTAGCATCACAGAGCACAAATGCCTTCAAACCATATTTCGCGGGTTTGTTTGGTATGTACTGGACAAAGCTGCATCGTCCTCGGAACGCAATCAACATTTCATCTATTGTCATAAATTCGCCCATAGAGTAGTTTTTTTTGCAATTACTTACAAATTTATCTAAAACGTACCGCACTGCGGCCAATTTATCTATTTTCTTGCGTTCATGCCTTGTTGTTTTGTCATCAAATCGAATATTTGCCAGCAGAAAAAGAAACCTTTGATAACTCGTGCAAGCTCGAAATATTTCTGATCCGGTACCGTCTTTTGTCCATAATTCCAAAAAATGGGTGTGGTTTTGCTTTTTAGATCCAGATAAAAACAGTAAGCCTATAAAAGCCAGCATTTCCGTTTTTGTAACGTCCTTTGCGTCTCGTTCTCGATCATAGTTTTCCCTAACTCTTGAAATTTCTAAATTAGTACAGTGAATAATATGTTATATATAAATCAATTAATTCAAAACATATAATCGATGTTTAATTATATACAAATATACAGACTACATTACAAATAAGTTTTCATGGAAAACCTAAAAAAAATACATTCCACTATCTACTTACATAACTGCTCGCCTTGGTGTATTTTGTACACCACCTCAAACTTCTTGAAATATCTAACCTTGTCCTCTAGCGATCCGAACCGTACTGGCGCTACATCTGGAAGATACATCGAGCGAGGCATACCTGGCTCGGCGCGGACGAACAGCTATTCGCATGGACTCGGCAGCCCTCGGCGCCATTTTGGTGTACTATATATATACACCAGCGCGAGTAGTTAAAGGTTAATATCGTACTTTCATCGAATTCCTTGTTATGAATAGACTAACTCCTAATGAAGTAAACAAAAGCTGCTCTTTCTATTTGAACTATTAGAATTATGCAGCTAAACTTAACCGTTGTCGCACGTCCCTTGAAGATGACCCGCGCGAATGGGAAGGCAAAAAATCGCAACTACACTTGACACCATCGAAAAGGTCCACGATACTTCGATGAATGATAGCATGGGGACTACGTGAGTAAGATTGCTATGGCGTAAAATGTCTTGCAGGAAAAACTATGGATGAGAAAGCTTTACACAAGGTGGGTGCCGCACGGCATAAGCCTAAATACCAATTCACCACTACTGCTATGAGGCGCTGGAAAAAACTTTGTTATCCGATTTTTGAACTACCTAAAGTTAGTACAACCGGGAATAATCCTCCTGAGGCACGATCTCGATACCCTATGGACCAAGGAGCGGTCGTATAGGTCAGTTCTGGATGTATGAAGTTCGACGTGGTTGGGCTGGGAGGCCGAAGTGAGGCGGGTTTGTCTGTCAGGCACACACACTGAACATCCAGACGAAATGAACGGATCTTTGGTAGAACTTGGCCATCCATAGAAACCGGATGAGCGCTAGCGCGCTGCTTGGTAGAACACTGTTTTGGAACCATTAAACTATACCAGATTCTTGCGTCCCCAAGCAGTGATAAGCTCCAGGTCTCTCGTCAGGGAGGAAGTCACTGCTAATCTTCCTAGCTGCATCTAACCGGCATAGACCGACTTGTTACTCTGAATTCCTGCATGCTGAGTGCTGTCATGAACAAAGCTGTGGGGAATACACGCGGTGACGTTGTTGGATGAAGAGAAGATACCGTCAATTACAACGGATGTTTTGCGGCCAGAGTGGAAGTCAGCCACCAATCTACAAAGACCCTTTGGAAGGTCATAAGATGGAGCGTCATCATAAGACTTGAGCTTGAGCTTACTCCACACTTGCGTGGCATAAGACAAGAGGTCCAATTCGGTAGGTATCCGATCGATTATGTGCAACGATTCGTTACCATGGATGAGAGATGGGTCCATGCCAGAAGCAAAACAGCAGTCGCAGCAGTATGTAAAAATCTGTGTTCAGCATCAAAGAAAATTACAGCTGTCACAAATATGTGTTTTAGATTGCGACGGATATTCTGTTAGATGATTACTTGGTGAGTGGGATTAATAGGGGTGAATGATATTTCAATCGCCTTGATCAAAAGCGTTCCAAAAATTTGTGAACTGAGGCCTGAAGAAGTAAAGGTCATTTGTCATCAGAAAAGATCAATGGCTCACAAAGGTGTCTTGGCAATTGGAAAATTAGATATGGCTTGCCTGAGTATATCTCGTTCTCTTCATTTGCTATCCCCGGACTGCCGTTCCCAGATTTCAAGTTGAGAATTATCAAGAGAAAGGCTTCAGACAAAATCGGCTGCGAAACAGCTACAAGGCACCTACAAAATAAAGCTGGAGGAGTGTGAAATTTGGTTCTCCGCGATGCCTTTCCACTAAAAGGGAGCAGATATTGAACAAACTTCTTCAGGACATACGTTAATGGACGTATTCCGATGGTATACAAAGAAGAACTTACCGCTGGAGGTTAAAATCCCATTAGAAAATGGACGGGTAGTACCCAAACCAACACAGCTAATCGTAAAGTACAAAATGAAAGGGTACTACTCGATAAACTGGTGTTTGGGGCGTTAACATCCCAAAATCTAAAAATTAACGAAACGACAACCCTACCGCAGTCTCCGAGGAAAGTAAATGCAGCAGAAAACCTAATTTTCTTGAAGAAGGTTAAATAAGTTGCATTGCAGAAGGTATCTTGGTAGAAACCAAATATCCCTATACGGCTGGTACGTGTAAAGTCACAAGGTGGCGCGCTGGTTACCAACTCGTCACGAGGGACCAACAAAACTTTAGGAGGCAATTTCGAAAATCAGTGTCCAAAAGATTTCAACAAAATACTGAATCGCTGAAAAAAAATGATATTATAATACGTATGAAATTATGCAATCAATAAACTACGAAAGTTGCCAAAAGAAAATCATTGAAAAGGGTTAGGCCTAGGAATGGGCACGCTACTATTAATGAAGAGAAATTCAAATTACTGGTAGTGATCAAAATAATAAAAAAAGGTTACGTGATTTTGGCACGTGACAGAGGGTGTAAATGAATATATTGATAGCATTACGGACCTCTTCTCCTTAACATTTGAGAAACGTTTGGCCGAGTATGTTGGAGACGAAGGGAATTATGCAAAGAAAAGGCTACCGTTTAACTGAAAATTGGAGTTTTTAATTGCCACAATACTATCCACCATACCCTCGTATCTAAGGAGGAGTGAAGAGGAAGCAATGTGGCCATGGTGACATTTACGACGTGAAATAAATGCCGCCTATAAAATGATTTTTTCCGACGCCCTGACATCGCTGTTGGGGGATATCATTTTATAACGGCTTATTTTTTCCATGCTCAGACGACGGTATCATATATCCAGCTGTCACACATTACTATAAGAGTAGGAGAATGGTCCTCGTATCTTATTTTTTCACTTTCTGCCGTTAAATGGTATGGTGCTTTCGAGATGACACACGGTGTGAAGTTGAAGGGCTGCGATGCTACCTTTTATCATGAGTTTCACATCCACATCAATCTTTTTTTGGGAAATATTTTGTTTGCTTAACAGTTATTTTTAGCATATACGTTGAAAGATTAAGAAGTGCCTGGTTTTGTGTAAAACAGAGGAGGAAGTAAAATGAAATATAATGGAAGCAATATGAAAATCCAGCGAGGTAAGCAGAAGTTTACGAATTTTTTTACAAGTATGTCATAAAAAAGTAAAAATCGCCCAAACTTTGTTCTTTGACAAGCATCCTGAGAATTTCAGATGAAAGTTATAGAGACAAAAAGACGTAAGGGTGGGGGTTGTAAGGGAGTGGAGAGGTTTATCCCGATTTTTTGATCCTGGTACATTTTTATACGTTCTCAATTCATAAAAATAATAATTGTACGCACCTAAATATATTTCACACATCATAGATTCCCCTGCACATTGGTGGCTGTTCTGATATGGATTGGTACGTATGTCTGCCTCGCAACAGCATATTCTTTTCCCGAGTTAGGTATCGGGGAGGGGCGGCGTTTCCAGATGCACTGCCAGTAGGGCAGGGAAAGACTGTCTATGGACTGTTTGGCTGACTTTTTTCTGAGAGAGTCTGATAAGAGGGCGTTGCGTAGGAAGTGCAGAGTCAACCAACTTGGCGACATTTTTCGTGAAGTGTTCGAGAAAAAGGCGAGATAAGGACAGCTTCGAATTTGAATAAATAAATCTGATCGGAAACCTAACAACGGGATTTTTAATACGCTGGTAACTGCTCTGGATGGAAGTCTGTACCTGATACATGCTTTTGGTGATTCTGAGGACTGGGGAGCGCGAGTAAGCCCTTTCGGCTGCCGACTTATACTAAGTGACATATAAATCCGAACACCCATTTTAAATGGTTTTATTTTAATAAAAGTTGGTGAGTGTATTTATCTTACTGTAAATAACAAGTGAAAAAATTTTCAGCCTTATCAGTTGGACATTCCGGTTTTTATACTGCTTTTTTTAATTCACTAACGCTCTAAAAATGAATATTTCAGCCGCAGTAAAGAATCAACGTTGGCGGATTTTGGTTCTTGACATCCTTTACGATCGGTTACGATGCCTATAGTACGGAGACCTGTACGATTTCGTCAACTTAGTGAGTTTGATATTGGCCGTATAGTGGGACTTCGGGAAGCTGGACTTTCTTTTCGGGCAATTGCAGTTAGAGTGCAAAGAAGTGTAGACACTGTGGTTAGGTGTTGTCAGGCATGACTTCGAGAAGGCCGTACGCAAAGAGCAAGGGGCACTGGACGCCGCCGTAGAACAACAGACCGTGAAGATCGCCGCCTAAGATTATTGGCCTTAAGGGACCGTTTCTCCACTACCAGGTCCATTGCAAATGAATCGTTTGCAGAACACGGAAGACCTATTGGTATGCGAAGTGTTTACCGACGAATGAGAAGTTTTGGCTTCCATCCTATAGCCTCCCAGAAAAGCTTTGCAGATGGGTGACTGACTTTATCTCTGGCTGCAAGGTTTCCGTCGTAATTGATGGGTTCTCCTCTTCATCCCACAACGTCAACGCGGGTGTTCCCCAGGGATCGGTCGTAGCTCCGACACTGGTTCTCTGACATATCAACGACCTCCTTTCCTGCACGATCAAGCCAATCCACAGTTTCGCTGATGACAGCACTTTACATGCAGGAATTCAGAGTGACAAGCAGATCTCTGCAGCTGAGTTGGGACAAAGGAGACTAGCGATGTCTTCCTCTCTGACAAGAGACCGGGAGGCTATCACCGCTTGGGGACGCAACAACCTAGTACAGCTCAATGCTTCCAAAACACACTGTACTTTGACGAACAAAAAGCGTCCCTGCGCTCACCCGGTTTCGATGGATGGCCGAGCTCTGCCGAAGAGCCTTCATTTCGGCTGGTTGGAGTCCAGATCACCAAGGACCTCATCTGGCACGAACACATCTCGTCAATAGCCGCAGCCGCTGGGAAAAAGCTAGGCTATTTGTTTAGGGCTAAGAAGTACTTTTCTCCGCAATACCTTCTCACTCTATACAAGGCCTAGATAAGGCCTGGTCTCGAGTATTGCTCACACGTTTGGGGTGCTGCCGCCCCGACTACATTATCCATGCTCGATGCTGTCCGGTCTCGGGACTCGTTCGCGCCGGCGGGCTGTCGGCGATCTGGCTCTTTTCTACCGCTACACCAACGGGCTTTGCTCCTCAGAGCGCTCTTCCATGATGCCACCGCGCGATGTGCCTGCCAGACAGACCCGTCTGGCTTTGGCGTCCCATCCTAACCGTGTCGAACTTCGTACATCCAGAACTAGCCGATACGACCGCTCCTTTGTCCTGAGGATGTCGAGATTGTGGAACAGTCTGCAGGAGGAGGCTTTTCCCAGTTCTATTAACCTAGCCCAGTTCAAAAATCGTATTAACAAAATTTCTTTGGGATCATCATAGCAGCCGCGGTGTTCCGGCATTTAGGCTTCTGCCTGCGCGGCTGCTTCGATATAAAAAAAAAGATCTAGTTTTTGCTTAAAAATGTAGCAATGTCATTTTTCAGGCTGCTAAAATCCAAATTAAAGCTCAAACCTTTCCCTGAAATACCCGGAGAAATACTTTCGAGTACTTTATTCCAAAGCAAAACCTTTCTTCGTTCTCTAATAAATGATAAACTATCGATTTTTTTTTTTTAGAAAACTTTATACCTCATTCTATTCAATAAAAATACTAGGCTAGTAGATTACAAGTATAAACACTTGTAAACGTATAGGAACATTTCAGAAAAATGACAACGGGTGTCCGGTATGATTGTACCAAAAAACATGTAGCAGTGTTTCAGAGATGCTTTTTGACTTAATTTAGAGCATCTTTATCGTCAACAATTGAATATGATACCTCTGGAGTATTGAGATGACTGTATTGAAAGATGTGTCATCGAGGAACCAGATTTTTCTGGACAAGTAGCCTTTATATTTCAAATAAACTAGGAATAAAAGCCACTCAGAAATGAGACGATATTAGAACTGAAAAAAGTAAAGATGAATCTGTAAACACTACAACTTGTGATGTATATAACATGACTATTTGGAATGAATCTATAATAATAATGCGTAAATGTGCAGTGCTTTTAAAGGTTTGGTTAAAAAGTGTTAACTTCTTAGTCTCTGTCAAATTTGTGCAGAGTTAGTCATATTTGATGATATTAAAGCTAACTGGTATCTTAAGCCCTGTATGTTACCTCTTCAGTCCACTTGTCCAACCCACTGGACATTTTTCGTAATATTTCTGTAGAGGTTCACGATGAACTAGTAGGATTTCCGGCCCGCTGTGCAGCGGACTGGACGTTCTAATATACGCCGTAAAATTTTCGGTAAAAAATATTTGGCAACGTTGATGCTGTTTCAGTTTTAATTTGCCGGTGTACGTGCTTTGAGGTTAGGGATGGCGTGGTATCAGAAACTAGGTAATATTTGGATTTTAATCTAATGCTTTGATAAAATATTAGTTATAAATAAATAAAATAACTATAATTTAGTGTTTCAAGTAATATACCTACAGAAATTGTGTGGTATCTCTGCATAGCAACCGGTTTTTGATTATGTGCAGTATTTTGGACATGGGGATTCTATCTGGTTCAAGTTTATAAGCAGTTTTTTGACTTTTGACGTAAGCTTCCATATTTGATTGTTATCATTTTGTTTCTTTTTCCGCAAGCTGGCAAGTCAATACTGACGGATAAAGATCTTGAGACAATTCTGAATGATAGTGACTTCTACTTGAGCGATGATGAGGAAGAAGTCGTCCTTGAAGTCAATGACACAATTGAGGCAAGTGATGTCGAGGAGGCTGTTCTTGAGCCGCCAGACGCAGATCCAGTTCCTGATACCGTTGAAGATAAGTCTAACGATGATGTACCTTTGTCCAAAATAAGAGACCAGCTACTTCAGAAGCACAACAAAGACAAAAAAACAGAAGAAAAATGGAAAAGAGGAGTTTTTGAAAATCGAGAAGAAGTCTACCTTGATCCGGAATTGCAGGTACAAGATGATCATGAGTATTGGTCACCGCTGAACTATTTTTTGGAATATTTCCCAGATGAGTTTTGGGAAAATTTGGCAGAACAAAGTAATATTCGTGCCATGCAGGGAAACGAAAAGAAACCTCTAAAGTCAACAGCCAAAGAATATCGCACATTGGTTGGAATACATATTTTAATGGACATTTTTGGACTCGATTGCGGCTATATTTCAAGAAGGGAATTGAAATATCCAGCATCACTCAATTACCAAGAGACCGTATTTTCAAATTAAGAAATTTTCTACACGTTGTTAATAACCTTAGTGTTCCTAATGAGGTAAAGAAGTCAAATCGGCTGTGGAAAGTTCAACCTATCATCGATGCGGTTCGTAGAAAATGTGTCACTTTACCAAGAAGTAAAGAATTGTGAATCGACGAACAAATGATCCCATTCACTGGTACCACATCTCTACGACAGTATGTTAAAAATAAGCCAAATCCTGTGGGATGAAAAAATTTTGTTTTGGCTACACCTTCTGGACTCGTACTAGATTTTTTTATTTACCAAGGTGTAAAAACTTGGCCGGATGGTTCTCCCGATCAAAATTTAGGAATAGGTGGTTCGGTTGTTAAGAAGCTTGTACCAGATTTGTCACCAGGGCACATAATTTATTTTGATCGTTATTTTACTTCAGTCAGTCTACTGGATCATTTACTGACACAAGGAATATTGGGAACGGGAACAATTATGAACAACCGGATTCCACGAGATTTTAGAAACAAAATGAAAAATGATAAAGAGCTGCTCTCAGAAGGTCGCGGTTCCTTCCACGAATTCATAAGAGAAGACAAAAAATGTACCATTCTCAAATGGATGGACAACAGATCAGTTACAATGGCATCATCATCAACAGGTTCTGCACCGCAAACAGACGTACGTCGATGGGATAAAAAGAATTCAAAATATATTTTTGTCCCATGTCTAAATTCTGTAACTAGTTACAACCGTTCTATGGGAGGAGTAGACCTGTGTGATAGTCTAATATATTATTATCGAATCTGTATGCGAACCAAAAAATGCCCAGTAAGAGTTTTCTGGCATTTTATCGATCTAGCAATCACAAATTCATGGATCGAATACAGACAAGGCTGCAACGGAGATAGGAAAAGCTCAATCATGGATTTACTTGAATTCAAACTGTATATTGGAAAATGTCTTGCCCTTGGGCCACAAACAACAGTTTCCCAAGATCCTAGACCATCCACCCCAGATGAAGAATCGAGCCGACCTGCTAAAAAATGCAAGAAGTCGGAGATACCACCAAGAGATGTTAGGACCACTGGGAATGAACATTTACCAATATGCAGTGTAAATAACAAAAATTCCTATATGCGCTGCCGTAATCTAGGTTGTACAAAAAAACAAGATTTTTCTGTGTAATATGTGATATATTTGTGTATTTCTCCAGAAAGGCAATGTTTCTTTGAATTTCATAATTAGATAGTTGACTCCATTTGTCCAAAATACTGGACATGTTATATTTTTTGAGTTCATTTGTAAAATATATTTTCTTACTTTTTTTGAATCCTGGCAAAGTTGTTTTACCTAACATTTCAAGAAAAGACAATAAAACAATTTCTTGGGACTGAAGAGGATAAAATGAAAAAGTACTACCAAAAAGGCAGAACATTTCAAATATCGCTTGATCTCTTTTATAGGTGCTATTATAATCTGATCTTTTTACGAACCAAGAAGCTTGCTTATTCTTTTCCTCCAAACTGCACATATAATCACTCGTATTTGGAATAAAAGAAGAATCGATACACATGTACTTTTGTGGAACATGAATATCCAACTTGCGAATATGGTCATGGAACACAATATCTCGTATTAGTAGTTTCAAGTACATTCACCGGTAATTATAACACCACACTGTTTATGGAGTATGGCTCAGAGCTTTTCCAATAATAACAAAGCCAAACTTTTATCTCTTTGCAAAAATATATTTAATCATTTATAAACCAATCACTCTCACACCAAAGAAAATTGTTTCAC